CACTGAGATTTTCGTGAGGAAACTTTGCCAGACTTTCGAAGGATGCCTATTTGGGGAAAAGGGGTCCTGAGAACCCAACTTCCACCCCCCTCCCACTCTCCACTCTCCACTTTCCAGTTTCAGTTTGTTTGCCAGTTGAAAGTCGCCCGCTGAATGATTGCCATTTAGTCTGCCACTTGCGACTAATTCGAGATCGCTGAGAGCTGCAGACAGATTTCATTATTTATGCACTTGTGTCTGTGCGCTGGAAAATGGGGAAAGTCAGCGAGGGGAAAAACGGGGGTGGGGCTGCCGACAATTAACTTTGTTTTTCGCTTACATTTTCACGCTGTTTTTTGGGCCAAGTTCCGGCGCGCACTTTTGCGCTTTTATGCTTTTATTTATTTGCAAAACTGCAGTTGAAGTGAAAATCAGGAGGGCTGGCAGGTGGGGAAGGTATTCCCCTGGGTTTTTCCCAGCGTTGAGTTTGTTAGAGTTTTTGTTAGTTGTTTCACCGGCTCCTTTTCATGTCCTTGCCGCACTTCTTCATCAACGCGCCCTCTGTCGGGCAAAAGTTTGGGATCGAAGAAACGAAGTTAGCGCCAGGTGAAAATGCCCCATTGGTCAGTTGGGGGCGGAAAATTCTGGCAGCTCTAATTGAGTTATTTGTGCAGCTTGGCCTGCAGCAAGTAAGCAGCAATTAACCCACCCACTCGAAATGGTTATTAAACGTACAGAGAATAGTACTGAAGAAGCTAAATCAAAACTGATCATAATAATTGTTTTTTTGGCCCGTGAATCTGGAACATCACATCAAAGGAATAAATAAATTGGGCTAATTTAAAATGACACATTAGTCACTTTGTTTGCGTGACTGTAAATTGGTTTTAGCTGATAAGGACACTAAAAGCCCACACACTAATTGATTGTGCGTAAATAATTTTTGGCTGATTAAGGCACTAAAAGCAAATGTAATTTATAACTTTAATATAAAAAGCTAATGGATTTTTTCACGGGTTGCTATTTTTAAATGACATGCGAGCTGAAAAGTTTATATGGGTATAAGCTGTTGCACTAAATTACTTTTTTACATTTTGGTTGATGATAATCAGCTACGTTTTCCAAAAATATTCCCTCTTAGTCTAAAGTTTTATAAGAGCGGATCGATTGTTTTTTAACAAAAAGATTGGGGTCACCAAATCTGCTTATATTTGTGAAATATGATTACAAAATCAAAAACGGTCATTATTATCAGGGGGAAATCAATTTGAATTAAATCAAGAGATCCCATTTGATTTTGCAATGAATGCTGAAAAATGTGCAATCATCTTTGACCCCATTCGAGCCTCCCCGGACTCATTAACCCTTGTCAGCCGACCGCCGCGCTCGACCTTGACCCGGCCGCTCCTCCTACTCACCACCCCCACCCCACCCATTCCCCAGGCCAGCATTTTAATTTTCCGTTTTCCATTTTGCATTTTCCGTTTCCATAAATCCAGAAATCCAGTGCCATCGCTCCTTAGCCCCATTACCAATTAGTCCGAATAGCATGGCTGCCAAGGTCAATGGCCCGGACTGGCTGGTCAGGGAAAAATAAATGGAAACGGGATAAGGATAAGGAGTGCTGCTCCTGCTCCTGCTCCTGGTAATGCTCCTGCTCCACGGCCATTAGGCGTGCGCTGCAGGCTTAATTAATCATGGCTAAGTGAGTCCGGGACGCACAAAAAAACTATTAGACATAAATGTGATTTTTCCGTTGCTTTTTCGTTTATCGCTTTCTTTGCGTTTTCCCATCCAGTCTGTCTTTGTCTGCGTTTCCGGCTAGCTGGCCTGCACTGTGAAAAAATCCCCCTAATGGGTATAATAAAAATAAAAACCTTTTCTCCTACGTATTGTAAATGTTTTGTTATTTAAAATCTTCCCTCTTTCTTACAATCTAAAAGAAGTCATGTCCCAACATATGTTCAAATATTTAGGTGACCCCTTTCAGCTTATAAAAATATTTGAAATTTAAAGAAATACGAATAAGTTGAGAAATTAGTATCACTAAACTTAGATATTAATTTTTAAATCCATTATTTATTGCCTTATATTAAGACCACAGTCTTTAAATTATTTAATTGCCACTTATAAATTGAAATAGATGTGAACCAAACAAAATAAAATGCAAATGAGTTGAAATACTCAAAATATCCTTATATAGTTTGTAAAAATATAAATATATATTGACTGTTTAATATTTTTTAGCGTGTAGCAAACAGTGGTGGACAGCGCACAAATTACTTAAAGATAGATAGAGCGACCGGATGAGGTGAAGGATGTGGCTGGAGTCAAGGGGCGGGGTCGGTGGGCGATGGTCGGAGGTCGGGCAACGACGCGTTATTTCCGTTTCCGGTCCAGCATTCAACACTCTCATCGAGGCGCATTGAGTGATGAAGTTTCGGAGGCTCCGGGGTCTGCCCCCCGCCCCATGCCACGCCCCCTGTGCCCCCGATCCCGCCCCTTTTGGCCTGGCCTATTCCCCGGCATAATCATTTTCTCCCTTTTTTGTTATCCTCTTTGGCTCTCGCCACCTTTTCCCCTTTTTTTGCACCCTGTTTTGTTGGGCCAAGTGATAAAATGTTTTATGTGCTCGAGTGTCTGATAACAATAAATAACGCCATCAGGACGAAAAGGACCCCAACGAGGGGGCGTTCGGCTGGCGTGTAAACAAATTGGTGTTGAAGGCATTTAGCCCTTTGTGGGACAAAGTTCTGTGGCCGGTCCGTTTGTTTAGGCCTCGCATTGCGACCCCATCGCTTGATGAATTGTAATCAGCCTCAAATTGGCAACAAGGCCAAGGACAGCGGGCCGAAAAAGGGGGCTTGGTATTAATCATCGAACTTTGAATGGCCCGAATCTGATTTGATTAGTTGCCAAAATATGTTTGAACAGCCAGCGCAACAGTTTTGGGCCCTAAATCGATTTTCTAGTGATTAAAACTGGGAGGGGGAAAATAGGGATGTTAAAAATGTATTATACCATGCTGAAATAATGTCTGAAAGAGTCTTTATTCTCAGAGGACATTAGAGAATATTTCTTTGAGAGATGAAAAATAAAATAAAATACTTTCCAGATTTACTGGGAAATGAAATTAAAGAATTAAACCGATTAAATTGGTTTTAAATAAAAACTTTTTATATCGTCTCCGGCTTGCTGTTTTAATTTCTGCAAAAAAAACGTTGGCACATCCGATGTCTGTGCATAATTAAAGCGGAAGGACAAACAAATAATTTCATATTAATTTATTAGCATTTTCATTAGGGCCGCAATTAAATTGGTTTGATTTTTTTGCATTTATTTTTTACGCCACTCCAAACTCAATAAACGCATAATTGAATAATTATAAACAGGGAAAAAAGATTTAATGAGAGAGCATGAATTATTCAGGAGTCTTTCATTTTTTATACCCATTTATACTATATTAATTTTATAGGGTCCCATAATATCTGGCTAGATTTGTAAATGTATTCATTTCGTTGTCTTTGCCTGCTTGCCGCTTTGTTTATCCAAGGCGAAAATCCCAAAAAACAATAAAAGCTCACACACGTGCATTTTTAATTTGGTTATGCATCGCTTCGTTTCTGCCTTTCTGAAACGTGAAAATGGGAAAATGGGAAAACGAGAAAATGTGTGTGAAATGGACAAATGAAAATGCAGGGAGGGGCAACGCACACCGAACGCTTTTAATTATGTTGATTTTTCGCTGATTTAATTTTTACCTGTGTTCGTTAAGTTTGCAGCACAAACCAAATGGAATTTAATTTAATCCTTTAGACCAAAAAAACAAAAAAAACATCTCCTTTTTTTGTTTAAACTGACCAGCAAAGGCAACCGAAAGGCAAACGAGGGGAAACAGGAAAGCCAAATTATAAAAGCGCTTTGGCCAACGAATTTTTTCAGCTCTGGCGGAAAAAATACTTCAAAAAGCGTCTATTCAAATGCCAAACGCCGATAACGGGAATGTCGAGGGGTTTTTTTTGGGGAGTTTCGGTTAATGTTACACCATTTTGGTTTAATTACTTTTTGGCTTTTGAACCAAGAACTGCTGCACTCGCTTTTTTGCTCACTTCCGCGGCCATTTTCAAACAGCTTAATTAAATAAGGGGAACAAGTTTGGCTCTCTACTTTCCCCGATTCGCGATATCAGGCGAGATTGGCGCATTCGCCGATAATTTAATAATTGCATCGGGCTGATAAGCCGATTCATTTGCATTATGCAGCTTTAACCGCATTTGAGCACATTATTTACCCGGCGAATTTGGCTTTTGATTTCATTTGGGTCGCCTGCATAATCCGCATTATAACGTAAACTCTTAAATTTTAACTTTTGCTATCAATGCGATACAAAGCGAGGTATTGCTTATTTTTCAATTTTTTTTAGCAATGGCTTACTAACATAAAACAAGGTGAAAACGTTTGAAACAAGAGTATAACCGAATTAGAAATAAATTAATAAGTACCCGGGGTGGTCCTCGATGCACTGCATCCTGGAGTCCAGTTCCTCTATGGTGACATCTTGATATATCTCCTCTCATCACTAAACAAACACCAACACACCGTCCCGGGAACTTCCGATCAACTGAGTGATCAGCTACCATAGCACTCACGTCATGACATATTAGCTAGAACTAGTTGGGAATTATAAGTACCCACTGAGATAATTTTGTAGTGATCATTATCGATGACGTGGCCCATTGTAAATATTACTTTTAGTACATTCATAACATAACATGTATACCATTTTTATTATTATTATTATCAAACATTCAACATAATAATAGTAAAATAATATTGAATTCGTTAATTAATAATGTTTCCTGTTGAAAAATGCATACTGGTTCTTGAATGTTACATGTTGAATATTAATTATTAATTTTTGAATATTAATGGTTGTTTCTCGTTGCACTTCGTTACTTCAGAACTAGTACCTTTCCCTTTCTTCCAATATCAATTCGACATATAAAATAAAATATAATATATTGAAATATATATACATCGTTCACTTTATTAGTTATCAAATTGCAATACAAAACTTCGGGCAGATCCTATAAGGATTCCGCCTTGACATATACACGTACCTATATAAATGTAAATTTATTTAAATTTCACGCGCACAGTACATATTTATTAAAGCTCTAGGGGATAATATTTTGGGGCAAGGGAGGGACTCTTAATGGCTAAGCAGAACACCCGAAATTAAGTGAATTTTTGCCGCGTGGGGGCACAACTTATCACATCTTATCACAAAAAACTGGTCTACCTATTACATAAAAAAAAATATGAAGGGGGATATAAATGTACAGGCTTTTGTTGGATATTTATACAATAGTTGGTTCGATTTAGTTTAAAATTGACTGCATGTAATAATATTATTGTCAAGGCCCTATGAAATATCTAGACATTATTGTCAGGGAAAAACATATACCGCTCTAATATTCTAATTCAATTTGTCAGGCATAAGTAGGTAAAGTGACGAACATTTTACAAAATCAAATAAACTTGTAAAAAAATGTTTTTCAAAGTAGTTCCAAAGACACTTTCGTAAATTCTTAGAGTAATTCTACAATTTTGATATGTTATCTCTTGGAAGTGTCACAGATAAAAGCCTTTATTGTGTAAAAAACAAATTAAGGGGAGTTGAATTTAGTCCTTTTTGGTTTAAAATGAGAACATGGCCGAGTAGTTTACGTTCTCGTCTCCTCGTAGCCACAGTGAATATAGCCGGTTTCCAGGGAGCCGCCGACGGCCGGTGACTTGCTGGGCAGATCCTGCTGCCGCTCCTTGTAGACACCATTGGTGCCATTGGCCTCGCAGCTATCCAGGATGCGCTCGAAGACGCTCTCGAAGCGACAGCGACTCAGCGAGAAGCGAGCCACGTCCACGCAGAGATCCCGAAGGGCGGCGAAGAGTTCCGAGAGGAGGGGACCGTCGCCCGGGGCTCCAGGCGATCGGATCCTCACGAGGAACCTCAGGCTGTGGCCATAGTGCTGCAGATCCCGCACACCCGGCACCCGCTGGCCCAGACTCCTCGAGATGATGGCCTGCTGGGCGGGACCGCAGAAGCAGGTGACGGCATAGTAGCCACCGTGCTCCGACTTTAGCCGCTCCGGACTGTCGCTGGCGATGACCTGACCCGCCCGGAGCACCGCTACTCGCTGGCACAGGTGCTCGATCTCCGAGACCGAGTGCGAGGTCAGCACCACCGCCCGACGGGCCAGCAGCAGCTGCTCGATGGTGGCATAGACCAGGTCCCGGGTCACCGGGTCCATGTCGCTGGTCGGCTCGTCCATCAGGACGGTGGGCGTGCAGCCGCAACAGGTCACGGCCACCGTCAGCTTCCGCCGGTTGCCGCCGCTCAGATTCCGCACCTGGACGTCCTTGTAGGGCCGCAGCTCGTAGGTGTCCAGCACGCGGTCGAGGAACTGCTCCAGGTCGCGGATCCCGCGCAGCTGCCCGTAGAAGCGGATGCACTCACTCGTCGTGAGCAGCGGGTCCAGCGGATTGCTCTGCGGGCAGTACGAGACCCCGGGCTGCAAAAGCGAGTTAGGGTTATTACTTAAAATCACAGCGAGCATAAATGAAAGTCAAAACCAGACCACACTGCGTATGAGTAATGCATTTTTGAACATCCGACTAATGAATAAGATTATGACTAGAATCACTTGTTGTTCTGATTTTTACTTTCGAGAAATGGCTAATTCGATTTAACTTTAAATATAATTTGTATGCAACTTGGATATCATCTGAACCGTTACTACTAAACTATTCTTTATGAAAAATACTTCAAAGTGATAAACGAAGAAGGCCTGAGTGGGAAATCTTTACAGGATATCTTTAGACCTTCCGCTAGAATAAGATTCCCCACCATCCCTCATAAGAAGACCCACCTGCTCAAAGTAGATGTGTCCAACGTTGGGCTGCAGCTGCCCGGTGAGCAGCTTGAAGATGGTCGACTTGCCGGCTCCGTTCTTGCCCAGCAACCCGAAACACTCGCCCCGCTGCACACTGAAGTGCACCTGGCGCACCGCGTAGCGCCCGCGGCGGTAGGCCAGCCAGAGATTCTCGGCCCGCACAGCCTCGCCGGCGGCCACGCAGCTCTTGAAGATGCTCTGGATGTTGACCAGCTTCAGCTGGCCCATCTTGTCCAGCTCCCGGCGGTAGGTGCAGTCCAGCATGCGCTCCACCCGCTGCCACAGCTTCCGCAGCAGGTGCCATTCGATTAGGACGTTGAGGACCAGCCCGGCCACGCCCACCAGCAGGAGGGCGGTAAAGTGGCGCCCGAGCAGGTCACTGGCCAACGGATGCTTGTACGAGTCGATGTCGTAGCGCCGGAATACCAGGGCCACCATGTAGTTCTTGCACAACTCCAAGAAGCCATCGCCCAGGGCGTGGATGGGGAAGATGAGGAAGGCCTGGTTGAGGGCGTGGCGCCAGCTGTCCCACGCCGGACCATCGCCCACCACGCCCAGGATCAGCACGATGCCCATGGTGACCAGTGGGATGATGAGGTTGGCGCAGAAGATCGACACAATGGCAATGCTCGAGTCGCTGAAGATCTTCTCGGCCACATGGACAGCCGGAACACAGGCGAAGCTATAGGGAATATGGGATAATTATTTGTTGGGTTGTGAAATCACTATTAATTGTCACATTAGGTGTCGAAAAGTATGCAGAGAATAAAAGTGGTCAGGCAAAATGTTTCCTTAAAACAATAAAAATAATGCTCCCTAATTTTGCACAAAAAATTCAGTATTTTGGTCGTCAAATTGCGAAATGAGGTCAGAATATGGAATGTGATAACTCGTTGAGTTCGTTATTAAATTTCAAATCGATTGGCATTTAAATCTGAAAAATTTAATTTTTGAAAATTTTTCGTAAAAAAAGATGATACAACCCCTTACAAAAAATGCGAAAATTCGTCAAAAAATAAATTTCCCGAAAAGATATAGGGATTGATAGCCTTGGTTGTTAGCTGCCCAGAACAGTCGGTCTCTTTGTTGTGCGCCCCGATTTGACTAAATTACGACATAAAAACGGCCTAAAAATAACGTATTTTTTGTCAAAAAAATCATTTTCCCTATTTTTGTACAAAAAAATCAGTATTTTGATCGACAAATTGCGAAATGAAGTCAGATTAAGGAATGTGATACCTCGTTGAGCTCGAAATTAAATTCCCAATCGATTGGCATTTAAATCTTTAAACTTTAATTTTTGAAAAATTTTCGAGAAAAATAGATGATACAACCCTTACAAAAAATGCGAAAATGGGTAAAAAATAGATTTCCCGATTTGTGATATGGATCGATAGCCTTGGTTGTTAGCTGCTCACAACAGTCGGTCTTTTTGTTGTGCGCCCCGATTTGACTAAATTACTTAAAAACTGCATAAAAATAACATATTTTTCGTCAAAAATAATACTTCCTATTTTTGCACAAAAAAAATCAGTATTTTGGTCGACAAAATGCGATAGGAGGTCAGAATTACGAATGTGATGCCTCGATGAACTCGTAATTAAATTCCCAATCGATTGGCATTTAAATCTAGAAAATTTAATTTTTGAAAAAATTTCCCGAAAAGTGATAGGAATCGATACCCTTAAACGGTTAAAAATTGAGGTATTTATACCCGTTACTCGTAGAGTAAAAGGGTATACTAGATTCGTCGGAAAGTATGTAACAGGCAGAAGGAAGCGTTTCCGACCCCACAAAGTATATATATTCTTGATCAGGATCACTAGCCGAGTCGATCTAGCCATGTCCGTCTGTCCGTCTGTCCGTCTGTCCGTCTGTCCGTCTGTCCGTCTGTCCGTCTGTCCGTCTGTCCGTCTGTCCGTATGAACGCTGAGATCTCGGAAACTATGAGAGTTACAATACTGGGATTAGGCACGCAGATTCCTGAGATTCCTGCGCAGCGCAAGTTTGTTTCAGCACAGTGCCACGCCCACTCTAACGCCCACAAACCGCCCAAAACTGTGGCTCCTACAGTTTTGATGCTAGAATAAAAATTTTAACTGAAATGTATTGTTCTCATCAATACCTATCGATTGACCCAAAAAAAAGTTTGCCACGCCCACTTTAACGCCCACAAACCGCGAAAACCTGTGACGCCCACAATTTTCATGCTAGATAAAAAATTTTAACTGAAATGTATTGGTCTCGTCGATACCTATCGATTGATCCAAAAAAAAATTTGCCACGCCCACTCTAACGCCCATAACGCTTAAATCTGTATACCGCCGGTAGGTGGCGCATTTTAATCTCGCTTTGCTGCTTGCATATCTCCATATAGCTGAGTAACGGGTATCTGATAGTCGAGGTACTCGACTATAGCGTTCTTCCTTGTTTTGACTAGAATCGTACTACATTTAGACTTTAGATGTCAAATGTGCAATTTTGTGGATATTTATGTATTTTTAGAACCCACCTGAAGGCCAGCGACAGGCCAATGATGCCCACCAGCTGCTGGCGGTCCACGAAGACGGGCATCCCGAACATCAGGATAACGGCCAGGCAGACGATCAGTCCCAGGACCATCACCAGATAGTCCCAAACGAAGGCTACCATCCAGTAGGTGACCGCACTCACCCCGCACAGTCTTTGCTGCAGCTTCTCGCCATTGACGCGTTCGTTGACCAGGTAAACGGATCCGGCGGCCACCACCAGACCGAAGGCTATCAGCAGGATGAAGACCATGGATCCGTCACCAGCCTGGCGGAGAATCGAACTGGTGCTCAGTTCGGCATAGCCCAGTTTCCAGGGTTCGTTGAGTGTAAGGATCCCGAACTCCGAGTCGTTCAAAGTGGTCCGTAGTAGCTCCGAGTTGAGATCGTTCAGCCAGGCCACCATGGAGTGGTAGCCCTTGTTGTTGTACCACACTGTCGCTCCCGAGCCATTTAACCCGTAGCCTCCATAGCGCCTCTCACGATACTCATCCCAGGAGTTCAAGACCCAATCGTAGGCCTTGTCCGAGCCATTGAACTCCGTGCAGGAGTCACCACTTAGCAGATCACAAGAGGTCCTCAGCCGGGGATACAGTTTCTCCGAGAAGCTGGAGGGGATCTCCTGGGAAAGGAACTGAGCACTCTTCGGATAAAGCGACCGACTGAGGGGCAGGACGGTGTCGAAGTCATCCTCCAGGCGATAGCTAACGAACCACATGGCGCACAGCTCGAAGAGAGCTGGCAGCAGGAGCACGTAGAGCAGCAGGCGGTAGTTGCGGGACAGGTGCCTCAGTCGCTTGCCCATGAGCAGTCGGAATTGCATCCATGCCGTCGGTGGATCCTCGGTGATCATCGCAGGTCCGGCTACCACGCCCCTACTCCGATCCCCGTTGGCCTGTCGTCGTGGCTCCTCGCCATTCCTGTTCAGCTGCTCGAACTCCTGCTCCAGGCTGGAACTGCTCGTCAGCTCCACATCGCTGATGCCGCCAGCCGCCTCCTGGGACTGCAGCAGCTCCAGGAACTCCACGGCACCCGGTGTCAAATGCTCCGCATAGCTGGCGCTGATGGTCAGGCCGTGCGGATGATCAGCGACTCCCGAAGGGATCACCTGGCTCTGGGGCAGAAGCTGCTGGGCCTTCTGGGCAATGTAGGTCACTCCAGTGGCATCGGCACATCGCATGCGGATGCTGTAGTTCGAGGTGCACAACCGCTGCAGGGAATCCCGGCTGTGCTGGGCGATAATTCGACCCTAAAATGGGAAATATTGGGTTAAGAAAAATCAAGCAACACCCTATCATATCATTAAAAATTGTTCGACATCCCTACTCACATTGCGCATTATCACCAGCGAGTCGCTGAGGTACTTGGCCTCGTCCAGGAAGTGGGTGGCGAAGATGACGGCCCTCCCTTGGCGCAGGCGCTCGATCAGCTGCCAGATGTCCTTCCTGGCCTTGGCGTCCACCCCGTTGCAGGGCTCGTCCAGGATGACCACGCTGGGTGAGGCGATAAAGGCGATGGCCACGCAGAGGCGGCGTCGGTAGCCCCCGGAGAGCTGCCACGAGGGATAGGACTCGTGTTGGCCAAAGTTGAGGCTCTGCAGGGTGCGGGCCACCTCCGAGCGGATCTCCTCAGCCCCACCGCTCTCACCTGGCGGCATCTTGATCCGGGCATACAGATGCAGGTGCTCGCGAGCAGTCAGCGTGGGTATGAGGATATTGTCCTGCCAGCAGACGCCCACCTGGTGCTCCCCGGCCAGGAGGACCTTGCCGCTGCTCTGGCGGATCTGGCCGGTGAGCAGCTTGATCAGGGTGCTCTTGCCGGCTCCATTCCGTCCCAGTAGGCAGCTCACCTGGTTGCGGGCGAAGTCGAGGCTCAAGTTGGAAACGGCGCACTTGCTGCCAAACAATTTGGTGACATTGACCAGCGAGGCGCCCAGTTTATCGTCCAACTGCGACCGACTGACCTTTACAAAGCTATAGTTATCTGAAAAATTAAAAAAAAACATTATTTTAATTAATAATATCCCGCATTTAGGGAGCACTTACTCTTCTTGTAACGCTGATAGGCCAGCCCAATGACTGCATAGAGCAGGAAGTCCAGGAGGAACATTAGGAGCGCCATGGCGCACTCGCTCCTCGCCGGACCCACCTGGATGAGGTGACCCGGGGTCAGACCCTCCTGCTGCAGCTCCATCCGCATCAGCTCGCCCCAGCCCTTGGCGAAGGCCGTGGTGAAGGACAGGTCCACCAGGAAGCTCTCGAAGACACTCAACTTGGCATCGAACATCAGCACAATAATGAAGGGACACAGGCTGATAAAGAACAGAAGGGCGGAGGCCACCGCTCCAATGTTCGCCGAATTGAAAAAGTTGGAGCACATGTAACTGCAAAAATGTACCGTATATCAAATCTATTACTATAGGTCTTATATGAACTACTCACCAGAACGAAATCAGACAAATGCCGAAGCTTAGACAGTAGAACATCATGAAGAACCAGTTGGTGTAACCCAAGATACCGCCACTGTAGAGCACCACACTGATCAGCACGAAGATCCCACAGAGCTCCAGGAAACTCATTAGAGCCCAGGCCACCAGCTCGGAATGTGCCTTCAGGCCCATCGATCGCATCAACTATGGATTACATATTGGGTTTCTTTAATAATAATTAAATATTAGATCCCTTAAATTAAATTATCTAGGTACACTGATACAAAATGGAATAGCATATACTACGTTTCTTTTATCAATGTGAAAAAGAGGTGACTGATCTATTATTATAATCAGAGTTTCGGAATCTCCTATAATTTTTTTTTCTCACCATGCTATTTCGGCTCTCCCGCATCCAAATACGTTCTCTCACACAAAGGGCCACGAAAACCACCAGACCCAGAAGGTAGGCCACCTGAACACCTTGGGCCAAGTACAAACCACGTTTAAAGCTAATAAAAAATATTTGGGAATATTATTAAGGAAACAAAAAGTAGTTAGGTCACTTACACATCATTGAGAAAGGCGGGATAGGGAAATTGTTTGGTGTAGAATTGCATGTTGTCCACTTCGAATTTATTTTTCTTGCTGGCATCCCCAGATCCGCCCAATCCTCCAAGCAAATCGAAGATTCCCTGGCGCTTGGAGCGCTTCAGAACATCATCATTGTTTAGCAGCAGAAGATCGGGTTCACCATTTACCGCTAACTGTTCCGTGGTGACCCTTTCTTCTTCGGTGGTGACCTCAACCCCTCCCTCTTCAGAGGGCATTGTGGTGCTATCTTGATCCTCTGCCAATGGCGAAACCTTTTGGGTGGCCTGTTCCGCACCGCTTCCCTCCAGACTGAGATCGAAATCATCATCGTCCTCCTCATCGTTGTCCACTTGCTTGATACTGAATAGACTACTCAGGGATCGCCCGCTTTCAAGGGGGTCCGCTTCCGGCGCGAAACCCGTCTCGTTTCGTTTGTATTTGATAATTCCCAGATCGACCATCTGCTTGAGCTGAACGAAACCCCGGTGGTACTTGAGATCGATGACCATGCTGTCGGCGGGTCCGGGGAACCAGAATCTATTTCGGCTCTCGAAAGTCGGTTGCGTATTATCCGTGTCCATGTGCAGGCGGTAGGAGGACTGCTTGAGAGCCACATCCTCCAGATTGAGGGCGGCCAAGAAGAGCTTGTTCTGATTTAGTTCGTAGGCCCTCTTCTGCAGCTCCTCCACACTCTCCACAGCCTCGAAACGATCCGCCGATACGCAATCCATGAGATCCGCCACGGTGGTGAGAATATCGTATATCAGCTGGTTGGTGCGAATATACTGGAACACCCGTTCGATTTCCCCAACATCGAAGTCATCGCCAACCAAACTCTTGACCAGCGGGGATTTGGCCAGCTTAAGGAGATTGTCGAAGGCCTCCTGGAAAGTGGCATTTGTGTGCAGTTTGGTGAGAATAGTGGCGGCGGCCCGGGAAAGTTGCTTCAGCCTGTCCAGCTCCTCGAAGGTGGCATTACTCTGGGGGTTGAATTTAATTTAACATGCATATTTTATAATATTATTATTTTGGTTCCCCAAAGATAACCTACAAACTTCACCACGCTGTCGGTCGCCACATTGGCGGGGGTATATAGAATCCGACCCTGGATAATGGGCTTTATGGTGTTCCAGGTGAGTTTTCCTTGGTTGGTAGAGGTCACATCCCGATAGAGACGCTTGCAATATTTGGCTAAGGGTTGGAATGGTTTTATTATAATCAATGCAAAATATAAACCATGAATAAATAAGTATAGAAAATGACATGATTGACATGAACATGACATTATTTATAGGATCATTATACATTGTAGGCATACTATAGAAGCAATATTAGCCAACAGCCCTTAATATAATAATCATAGCCGCAAAACCATTTTAGCAAAATTTACACATGGGAACTAAGCAATTTGTAAAATATTGTAATATAAAGATCTCTGATCATGCTCACTTGGCCTCCAGTCCGTGGGGAGATCCTCGGATCGACGACGACGACGGTCTGGAGGCAGAGCAAGGTTGGCAATATGCAGTTTTAGGGAATTCAAACAGGGGATACCCTCCTCAGAGGATTCAACTCACTCGGCATCGCATCGAGTTCCGCATCATTGGCCTGGCTAAAGTCCTCCGATTCCAGGATCTCATTGACCAGCGGTATGGTATCGGTGTTGGGGAAAGGATGGCCGCACAGCAGGACGCCCAGCTTTACGAAGGTCTCGCGATCTGCCAGAGGAATCAGTTGAGATTATCGGGTTCACAAGGGGCTTACATTTGAACATACTTGAAAATAAATTCTTGATGTCGAAACTGTAGTTCATCCGTCGCTCGATTTCGGGCACCAGGGAAATTATTTCACTTATGTTACCTGTAAGAGAAAAACAATTGGTTTTAAGCTTTATTCCGATTTTAGGAAAACTGTAAACTAATTACAGAAATATACAGAAAATGTTCCATTTAAATTTACTACCGTTAATAAAAGATGCATAGCGGTTTTTGTATTATTTTGACATTAATTACCCGCTTGTTCGTTATTCCCAACAATCCCAACATATTTCTGTAGAGTAAGAAATTAATAACAAATAATGACTGGCATAAACATTTTATAAATTACCAGAGTTGTGCTAGCAAAAATATATAAAATAATACCTAGTACTAATAAATTGTAATTGTCTAGAAAATGTAAATAGAAGTATTCAATACATTTTTATGGGTTTTCCGACTTTGAAATCGTGCTCGAATAGGCCAAGTTAACAGCTCAGAAGTGGGAAAAGGATCACGGTCGCGAACGCTGTGTTGTAAATACCCCTAATTGCACGACATGCTCAACTGATGCTCGTTGCCACCGGTTAACTTGGGTTAATTATAAGGTACTTACTGCGAATGATGTCGAGTCGATCGCTGGTGATCAGGGTGGTGATGGCCGACACAAAGTTGGCCTTCTCGGCCAGCTCCACGACGGCCTTGTGGAGCCGCTCGTCGGTCACGAAGGCGTTGACCACATCGATCACGGAGTGCAGACTGGAATGGTAATTAAGGGTGGTCAGGATTATTTTTTGGGGACCCCAAGATGATCTTACGGCGCCTCCTTCCAGTGGGAGTACTCCTCGTAGGGATGCGCCGGCTGGCAGCGGTTCTCAATGCTGCAGATGTAGGAGAAGGCGGCGGGCACCACCTGGTTCTTGGTGGGCAGCAGGCGGGTGGGGTACTGGCAGGCCGCCACCTCCTCCGATCCGTACTTGAGGCGGATCAGGTAGAGCAGCATGAACACCATCACCGGCCAGGCCAGCAGGATCAGGCTGAGGCCCTTCTGGCGCCATCGCACCAGCAGATCCTTGCGCAGCAGCTCCCGCACCTCGCGACCACTCAGGTGCATCCTCATGACCTCCCCTCGCTTTTCCCACTTTTCCCGCTTTTCCCACTGGCGATTGCTGCTTCGGCTCGATCACTCGGGCATCTTTGTCGTCTGCACAGAGAAAATCAAAAGCACTGTCAATTTTTAACATCGTTCTTCATAGCTGATCCAAAAGCATATTTCAGTAGCTTAAACAAAAGTCAAAGGTCTAAACAAATAAATATCTCCTATCGAAATGTCAAGGTGACGCAAAAAGTTATTCGCCTGATTTTAAATACGTGCTCGTGTGTTTCTAAATCTGTTGTTAATTATTTATTGTTAATTATTCTATATATAATGAGATGGCAAAGGTATATATTAAGCGATGATCGGGTATATCTATACTTATTGTTTAGTATTCTGCTTTCAATGAGATAACCTAAAATTTCTGAAATATTTTTGCACATAACATTTTGTGTATAGAAATATTTAAAATGTAATGTTGTCTTACTTAAAATTGAGAAGATCTTGGGTATGGGTATGTACTAACCGATTTAATATTTTAAAATTCTTTCCAAAAAGTTTTTTAAAATCTGTAAGTATTAAGCAATTGTTAGAATCATAACTATATATATTCCAAAAGCATATTGCTTCTAATTTCTACAAGATTTTAAGTAACTTGATACTACTGAAATATTTCGATATTTTTACTCCATTTGGCGGCGGAAGAGAGTCGTGTGTGTGTTAATTGTGCAGGCAGATAGGATCGCTTTTCTACGGATATCGCTTCCCCAGCATAATTAACCCCTGTTCGCATTGTTAACCGCCTTTGTGCCGCTTGCCGCGTTGCTAATTCGGGCTATTTAGTGGTTCGCCATGTCGGCAAAATGCTTCCCGGTGGCAAACGAAGAGTTAAGTCCCTCTTTCCGCCCCCTCAACCCTCTACAGCCACCTCTGTCAGTAAATGCCATTTGTTGACAATTACTTTAAAGCGTGCTTTTGTAATTTGAATTAAATTATTCAGCGGATAGCTCTGAGTCACAACAGCTAAATGGACAGTCAATCAGTAAGCACAAGTGGAAAGTTAGCAGTTTCCTTGTTCTAAACATGCATATATGGAGTGAAAAAAGTTTTAAAATATTATAACTGTATACGTAGGAATTTATTTTTACAAATCAGACCTGGCCTCAAATATGAGCCTTACCATATTAACAAATTGGTCGATAATTTTTTGCACCTAAGAAGTGGTTATTTTTTGTAAATTTGGTCTTCATGAAACCAGGCAAGTTTAAAGGTACGCCATATTAATCCCTAATTCTATAAATCCGTATGCAAATAAAAAAATAGTGCAGTATTAAAACAAAACCCATAATAATAAACCATACTTACACTATAAAAGAAAAACTAAATAATTTTTTTCTGTAATCCTACGGGACAATACTGTTCACTAATTCTATTTACGAAGTGATTTTACCAATGAGTAATGCAATTTTTCTTACAAGAACATATCTTTGACCCCCACCAAGGCTTAGGCCCTCGTAAACTGGGAGATCGGCCAAAGAGTTATGGCCTTAAGCAGGAGCTCCACATGGCCGAGGTGAAGGTGCTCGAGATCGTAATGGCGTTATGGCGCCCAGCTGTCCATTTGAGTCAGGTGTGGATGAAAGATGAGCCGCATCCATTACCCGGCAGGCGATTTATGACCCGGACAATGTCGAACTTCGCCAAACCAGTTGCAAATCAAATAGACGTACAGCCAGGCAATAAAAGAGTGCTTATTCTTTTTTAACCATTTTTTGTTTGGTATGCAAAGCTCGGCCCGCGACTTTTGATGAACGCCACCCGCCGATCTTGCCAAGATGCCAATCAACTCCAGCTCGATTGAATACAAACATTCTCTATATACATATATATATGCATACCTAAACCGAGCCGCTGTGAACACTCTGACTTCTGACTTTTGGATGGGGACTGCAATCAAAGTGGGAAAATCTCGAGAGCCAAGACAAAAGAATATTAAGATGTGTGGAAATATAAACAGAAACTAAAATCTGGCTCAGGGTACTTCGACTTTTAATAAGCTGGCTAACACATTGCTGAAACTTTGGCTATTAAGACTTTCCAGAAGCACATCTTAAAGATGTAAAAAATATATGTACAACCTTATGATCCCAATTAGAATATTATAAAGAAAAAATATTTCCAGATTCGGTGATGTATCAAAAACATAAACGACTCCAATCATTGTTTACAATAATTAAAACATAGATTGCTAAATCGGGCGTAGTTTTGCCCAGAGATAAGCTTTCTATCAATCTTGCATTCGTATTCTCGCCTTAGTTTATAATTCATAACAAACTAATCTGTTTTATGTTAAAAATTTGTATATGTTATTGATGTCTAGCTTATTATATTATTAAAATACCCTTTAGTTCTTATAAAAATAATAACTATTAAAAGATACATTTTAAGCAGATCGTCATATATATTGTTATTTACAATACTGCAGAAATATTAAAGCGAAATAAAAATATTGAAACAACAACTTTAAAATGTTTCCTAATAATTAATGCAATTAAATTAGTTTCTAAACCTACCAAATTAAAAGCCAAACCGATCGGCAACTCGTTTGGCAAAGCTTATGGAACCAGATCTAGTGGAATACCAGATTTAGTTCCAGTTCCAAATCCACTTTCGGTTGCATTTGCTGATTAGTCAATGGCCTATAGCATAATGTTGCAGTCGAGCCAATGTCATCATCGGCGGGATTATCTAATACTTGATTGATCCCCGGCTAATGTTGCGTGAACCGATCGCTCCAGTTTCCCGCCGCCGGAAAACTGGGCCAACTGCAACGGTATTCTATATGATGGCTAGTATATATGGTTATTTGCGATCGCGTTATCAGCTCAGTTGGGAATTTGTAGCTGATAATTACAAGGTATTTTCTGAATAGGGAAAATGATGAATGGCCGCGGCTTTAATTAACAGGTAAAGCCTCCCACAACTCTGGCACTCCATTCCAGTTTCAGTTCAAGGAAGATATCGGCCGTATGCAAATGTGTTAGTGCCTGCGATTCCAGTGGCAATTAGACACTCCCGGCACGTAGTCCCCCCAGCAACCAGTAACCAGTAGTAGCCCCCCAAATAACCATAATAACCAGATGTTTTTTCGCGTACTTTTCAGGTACCTGCAAACCGAAACTAATACTTGCTTTTTGGCTAATTAAAATAAAGCGAAAATAAGCTGCGAATCAGATGCAGTTGCGAAACGGGATTTTGTGGCGATTTCAAGATTCCCTTTACTTATATATCAAATAAAAACTCGTTTAGATCACGTTTAGTTACTCAAGATGCAGATGAATTCCTGGAATTACCCCAGACAAGCACTTAAGTTCTTTCTAAGTCTTCGTGGAGATACCTATTTAAGACCTCGAGACCGATTAGATTAGAAGTATTGTATAACTGCGTTTCAACAGGTTTGTTCCATCACTCGTTTTAATTTAAAACTTGAAGTATTCGATTAAAACAGGACAGATAAACACGGTATTCTATAAAACACGAAACAAAGAAAAATATATATTTCTTGTTTTACTTATAATGGGCTATTAATATCTATTTAGTAATGTAGTTGTTATAAGACGGCACCAACTGTTTCTTCTAGTTGTTAATTCTATAGTTAGTTTTGAATAAATAAATTCCACAGGTTTTTTGATGTGTGAAGTGTTATTCCATTTGCATTTGCCTACACACATACGTTCATCACAACTGGCCTCAAATGACAGACGCACTAATTCAGGTGAGAACTTGACCCCCTGATTCTCCTCCCTGAAAACCACCAATAACCAATCAAATGAACACAGAAAAAAATTCTAAAATCTTTTCTAAGATGCGTGTGCATTAAATGGAACATATATTGGTAAAGAAAATAAAAAAAACTGTATAAGTAAATAGAAAATAAAAAATGTTAAGCAAAGAAATAAGCAAGCTTTCAAAATACAAACTCATATTGTTATTATTTCCAAAATAAGTATTATAGCCCTTCAGAAAAATATAGAAGTAGAAGTAAATTAAAAAATAATTTAAAAAATATATAAAACAAATATTTGTAATTTCTAAAGTAAAAATTGTTGCTGTTTAAAAAATAATATAAAAGGAAACGAGTTTTTCTCTCTGTGCATTCTTAGCAATCAGCATAAGCATAAAACTCCGCCAGACGACTGCTGACTGCCGACTTGAGTGGATTCTAGCCGCAATATATCATCGATCTATTGGCTAACTCGGGTTTCAGCGCGACCTTGACCATGAGTCTTCACTAATCGCTAAAACTAGCAAGTCGCGCTAAGCGAAACGAAAATAGTGGTATATCACAGTATATATAAGTAAGGCGAAACAGGTTTGCTGACAGATAAACAGATAAGCTACAGTGATCCCCTTACCCTTTAAATGGTTTTGTGTAATGCACTTTGTTTGGATGATTATCCCACTTAAATTTAACATGGAAATCTTTTAGTTTTTATCTCCCTCCAAGCACCCATTTTTTTGTTCCGGGCAAGCTGATTAAATCGCGTGTGGTCAAGCAGTTAAAATCGCACGCGTTTACAGTGCAATTTATGCACCCATTTATATCTAGGTATTTCAACTGCATTCCATCTCATAAATACATATATTGTATTTTGTATTTTTTTTGCATGCAATTCACATATTTCCTGTCATTTCTTTTATTAATTTCTTTAATTTTATTTACAGCTTTCAGTGCACTTTAACATGTGCATTCCAGTTCATTAATACATTTATTCAAAATTAATTGGTATTTAATTTCCTCTTTTTTCTGGCTCAAGCTTTGACATATGTACATAGTTTGAATTCTGACTTTTCTTTATTAAATGTATATGATTTAAATTTAACAGAAATTGTAATATAATAATTTCAATAATATTGCATTAGATGCAACGGTAGTTCGTCTCCGACTGACAAAAACGCGATTGCCGGCAGTGAAGCGTTTTAAAACGAACGCGTTTTCCTGTCCGGACTTCTGATTTTTGATTTCTGATTTTTAGACTTCAACTTCAAGTTGGTATCGCTTCGGATCACTTCAAACCGCCCGATCAACCGATCAGCATGAGTCGACAAGAACCGGCGCAGACTTGGCTATAATTATATTCCCAGTCGCATGTAGATTCTGCCGCATATTTTATTTATAAGACCCATTCGGCTGGCCATAGGAAACGCTGCTCGCTCTTTATTTATTTATTTATAAGCGCTAACTTGTTGCTTTTTCGCTTTTTAAGCCTGATCAGCAGCCAGCAAGGTCGCTGCTTACATGTGCAAAAACTGGCAATGCAATTAAGTCTGGATAAATAACCAGTCTGATAATGGCGCTCAGGGCCTCTGGAAGCGGTATGCTAAAGATTTTATGGTAATGCCGGCGATAATCGACCGACGCTCAGGAAACGGAAGACGGAGCAAGAATTCTAACTAAACTTCCAGCCAATATATTGGCTTTTTTACTGTCCTAGCGTTACAGCAAGTCACAATGATGCAGAACAATAGACCACTTAAAAGCCGCATTTAGTATTTAATTTTATCTACCGGTTAAATTATTTGGTACTTAATGTATGCAAAGTGCTACATCTGGATCACTTCACTAATGCAAAAATAATAATGAAAGAAACACCAGGCCAATTATATGTGGTCCCCACACTTGTAATCATATTTCGACATTTATATTCTTAAAAATAAAGTAAAGCCAATATAATCTGCGATAAACTCAGCAAAAACTGCATTAAATTACGGTAAAAGCTTACACACATGTTTATAGCTTACATATTCAAAAATTCTCAAAAAAAATGTGATTTTCAAAGCCATCTAGCTATTTTTCATCACACATCTAGGGTATAGATTTATGAATATCAAATAATTACCCAAGTGCATCTGAGATGCTAATGCATCCTAAGTTGATTCTTCTTCCTCAGCCTTTGTTTCACATGGCTAATTGTTAGAAATCTCACACTTCGAGCTTTTGTAACTTTTAAACATTAGATTCGATTGCCGGAAAAAATCCATGACGGATACCCTCCAGGGAAAAATGTCCATATAACACTTCACACGTGATAATTACTTGGCTATGCTCATTACAGGTCCCATGCTTTAGATGAGTGCCCTGCAGTTGGGGTTCTGTTAAAGCTAGTATCATATTTTTAAACACAAATAAAATAAATTGCTTATGTTCTGTGTGCGATTAAAATGTAACAAATATATATTAACTGCTTAAAACGGAACCACTAACTCTGGGTTTTAGGATACAAATATAATAACCCTTTTTACCTGCAATCTAAAATTTGTAAACATTTTTTAGAAGTATAAGTTTTAAAATTGCAATAAAAGTATTGTGTGCTTTCCAAACAATTTATAACAATTTAGGGTACTCGCACTTCCTTTTGTTGGTTTTTTCTTGGCGTTTTCACTTTCATCGCTTGTTGCTGTTGTTGTTTGGCCACCTCTTTTTTGTACCGCCCGTTTGGCGTTTAACTACATAAATTTTCAACTTTTGTTGCTGTGTTAAATACAGTATTTCGTATGGACAATTTGTCCAACTCTTTTGTTTTGCTCCGAACTTTTTGTTTTGGCCAGCCCTTTTTGAGCAGCAACGCCAAAAAACGTGCCAAGAAACCTCAAAAACCAGAAACGTCAGATACCAAACAAAAGCCCAAGAAATGCACTCAAAAAATTAAGATCTATTGGAAATTTAGTTAATTAAAACCCCACTTATTTAGGCCAAGTCTAGATGAAATAAAATATCTGTGAATTTAGGTGAACATAGTCTTTTTTAAACGTGAATAAATATATTTTATTTGTTATTGGGAGTTAGTGACGAATTCAGAATTTAATCGGCATTAGTTTTGTTGTTCGTTATTATCTTACAAATAATATTTAGAAATAAAATTTAATATCCTAAGCCAATAAGCAGAAGTGGTCAAAATAATAACACTTCTAGTTAAGAACGTTTTAAAAATGTTTTTATATTTTTAGGCTGTATGTAAGTACTGTATACTGACTTCAAGTCCTAGTCATCACAAGTGTAACATTAAAAAAAGTTTATTTAAACAGTGTTCTTAAGCCCCTTTTACCTAAATTTAGTAAAGGTATTTAAATTATTTTAAAGACTCCAACTTAACTGCGATTATATCAAAGCGTTTTCAAAGTAAGTGGGACTTTAATTACTGTGTACCAAAATTGAAAGCGACAGCCATTAAAAACAGCTGTTGCAGCTTCGATTTAGCAATTTGCTGCAGTACCCAATAAATATTTAGGAAGTTGTTAAAAACAGCTACAACAACAAGAGGAAAAGTAAAAAATTGGTGACTTACTAACCCCGCTAAACGTGTTGTTGTTCTTCTTGCGTCCGCTTTGGGTTCTTCTTCGCAGGTATTTCTTTTATCTCGTTACCTTTTAAAGGTTTTTCGGTCACTGCAGTTGTTTACTCCACACACCGTTCTTTTGTTTTAGAGGTTTTACTCTTCACTTGAGCCGCTTTTTCTGGTGTTTCCCTCTCGCTCGCACATTTAGCACAGTTAAAAAAATGGCAGAAGATTTCGGTTTAGTTTCTGTTTTGTTTTGGTTTTTGGTATAAAAAGCACCGCCTGAGACGTCCGCCAACAAAGCTGGCCGCAATTGAACTGAGCTTGACTAAACGCGCTTACGGAAAATTATTTAATTCCGCTCCCAGTTGCCGCTGCCGACGTCAAAAAACGTCGTCGATCGTCGATCGCCAACTTCCAACTTCGTTGTTGTTGCGTGGGGGCGGCAACATGTTGCTCCCGTCCGTCCCACCAGCAACATGTTGCCCGCTCTGGCCATGGGCGTGCGCGAGGGGGTTCGAACGCAAGCTCCTTTAATGTCAGGCCATGAATGTCGAGTGAAACGAGAAATCACATGCCAAATACCTTTTTTGTCTTCACTTATTGTTCAACCAAGCATTCCACTTTGGTTTTTTATAACTTGAGTATCGCGAATTCTTTAGATCTTGTGATTCCATTTACAATAACAAATATTAAAGAAAATAGGAAACTTTATCAGGAGCTAGAGATATTCACAAAACACGATAAGTCAGTCATTAATGCTAACTATCAAGATCTTAGCTTTTCAAAGCCCCATTAAAAACAACCCCAGACGCCCCTGCTTTTAACTGTTCTTTTGTTTCCCAGTTGCGTGTGCGTGACACGCAGTTAAAAGCAAAGCTGGATTTAATTAGCCCTTCTTTTCGGGGGATACTAATTGCAGCCCTGGGCCATCAGACAACTGTACTTATATCCAATGAGATGCCAAAATATATGGAAACCCTTCCCGAAACACCAAATCCACGAATTAGTGCCAATTTCGAGAGCCAGTCGGCCGTGTAAAGAGGGCTATAACGCTCGCACTTTGTACCTGGACTAGGCTAATGGATCGGAACCCAAGAATATGATATAAGCACGCCAATGAGTTGGCAAAAATATGAAGTTCCTGGATTAAGATTTCTAGATTCAAGGGAGTCAATAATTAAGGTCGATTGAAATGTTATAAATAAATGTACTTGAGGTACTATTAACTTTGACTACAAATACATTGGTTAGGTTTATGGAAACTCAGACTAAATACCCCTGAATTCTATTTCTATTCAATACATATTTTTTGACTAATTGCATATAATTCCTATACTATGATTAAGTATATGATTATGAATTTAAAAGCCCAAATGTACATTTTTTAATATGATAATAAGTATGGCAGTATGTATTGGCTGGCAAAAAATCTCGGAACAACTTATTACTTTAAAATAATTTAAGGGTAATAAACAGTGTCACTTTTTATTAATTCAAAGGTAGTTAATTTTTGAAAGATAATTTCTAGGAACGCGAATCACCATAGAGTCCAATCAAATGAGAAAACAGACTCAATGGAGGTATGATATGAATATAAAAAACCACAATTCCAGTGCCTCCAAACCGTTATTATCAGAGAACTTAAATCAAAACGATTCTTTCATAGGAAACTGGATACCGGGGGACATATGGAAATTCCTGGGGGAGAGTGCAAACAATTGTCAAGTGCTTTTGAATCTAGAATCAAGACGACCGGTGATCTGCGTCACCAGCCATCCACATCCACATCCACTCGTTTGGACCACGTCCAGGTGCCCATGTCGCCAAGTCCCCACTTCTCCACTTCTCCCCCGGAATCATGCCAACCAGAACCGTTCTCATTCTCAGTCGGCTCTCGACGTCCATGTCCACGGACCCAGAATGTCCAAAAGTTTCGCTTGGCTGCGTATCAGTTGCGCATAATGCCCAAAGTCATTATGGCAGAAATCGTAAAAAAAAACTAAACGCTCAAAATGCTGAAATTTAAATTATATATCTGAATTATGAAATTGTTTATCGGAATAAAGCGAAGCGCAGAACAAAAACGGCAAACTAGCGATGACAATCTGGAAACTAAAGTGGCATAAAGTTAAGCCAGAGTAATTAAATTTAGTAAACTAGCCCGCGAGACAAAAGAACAAAGAACTATGATCCATAACGCAATCTTCCAGATAAAATAAATAATTATATGTGGCATTAGATAAGACATGAAAATATGTTGAAGTATTTTTAAGGCAACCTATTTAACTATTAAATTGTTCAATTGTACCTGCAAGTTTTTTGTCTCCTTCTCCTTGATACCATTCCGGGTTCATTCACTGCCGATTTCCATTAAGCCGAAGTAATTGCTATAGACTTGCTCCGAAACGAATATAGATAGGAAGTCGGTTGACTCAGCTTCTGCTCTGGCTGCCACGTGTTACCGCAGCACCCCACGTCACCTCCCACTTACGGCACGCATTCGACCCCCTTGCAATAGAGAAGGGTTAATGGGGGAAGTGGGAGGTTCAAGTGTCGCACGCTTAACTCAATCTCTACTTAGCTGCTTTCCAATCAAGCAGCGTTTCAGGCCCTTGACTTCCCTTTCCATATCCTATCCATTTGCTATTTGAATACATTTTTTATATCGGAAATTACCTAATGAAAAGTACATAAAATATGTTTTTATATATGTAACATTTCAAAGTATATAAGAGGGTATTTTTATCAAAATGAAATCGGTTTTATTCATGAACATCGATGTTTACTTATATCACATGTCTGAAAATTATTCTTAATAAGATTAATGTAGAATATTTGTGCGATTGACTTATTATTTAAATCTGCTTTTTCACCTTTCTTTGTTTCTAGCATTTTTCGGTATCAAAATGGAAATATCTATATACGAATTCCCTCTTTTGATTTTTTCCTTTAAGATTTTAATTTAATTTATAGAAAAATGGAAACAATATCAACAAATAATAATTAAAACAAAAACAAAAAATCCATTTTACTGGAAGGGTTATAAAATTGCTTATTTAAAACTTCAAGGCTTTTTGTAAATGTATAAAAAATGATTCAAATGAGTCCCTGCAAATGTCCCCTTTTTCTTCAGTCTTTGAGCCATCGTACATATTGCTATAAAAATAGTTAACAAAAATGCTTTGCGAAGCTGATTGTTTTTACAGATGATCGGGTGCTTTGCGTTCAATTCGACGTGGGGATGAGCTTAGTGGGCGGCGCCCTTTGGCCCCGACAAGGTCACGACTGGAGCCAATCAAGCGCTGCCGTTTGAGCCGGGGTCGAGAGTCAAGCGACAAAAAATAGAAATAAAAATAAGTAACTGCCAGAGGCGCTAACAAGTTTCAGGTGGCTCAGAAAGGTGGATTCTGCCGCTGTCTCGGCGTAATCACATTTCGCAGTTGTCAATAGAAGGGGCAGGCATGTACTTATAAAACTTTATATGTTACTATTTGCCGAGTTGGACAAACAACAGCCAGGAGGGAGGTGGCGGGAGCCGACTGAATGCCACTTAAGTGCCATTATAAGACTGCGATTTGCAATATAGACAAGTCATGATTACAGTTATGTCCACAACCGGTTTTCGTTTTACTACTTTCTGTAGAGAAATTGCTAAGATAAGGCGAATGCATCTTACTGCTGCAACAGATTGAGATACTCATGGAGGACCTTCTCCTCCTGGACCAACGGCAAGTCCAGGTAGTCCATGTCATTCTGACTGATGTCGGCGTTGAAGCGCTCATATGCCTTGTAGGTCTCTATCTCAGAGCGTGCATGCTTCATAACCGCCTCGATGAGGGGTGATGGCGGAGCAGTCTGGGCCCCAATGGAGGCGCTTGAGGTGGAGGGACCATCCCAGTTCTGACCTTCGATTCCGGCCATACGGCCAACACGCTCCAGAGTCTCCTTCAGCTCCTCCTCACTCTGGAAGGCTCTCAGCAGACTTTCGATGGCCCGCTCAATGTTATTCGATGCGTTCTCGAGGGCCACGCGCGAGTTGTCTTCCTTGAATCCCAGCTGGAGAAGTTGGACCAGTTTGTCCTGGTCGCTGGTGACCCTGTTGCGGGGCAAGGCAGCACGCAGCACGTCGGCTTCAGTCTGCAGCAGTTCCACCTGAAAAAGGAATTTTCGTATAGGCAAGGTGTAAATAATTAGAAAACCACTTAAGCATGTTTCCGTATTTTTCTATAATTTTTGAAACTTTTTTTAAACAAACAATCTTTATAAGCTAACAGCAACAGTTAAACTCACCGCTTTTGGTAGATCATTTTTGGAGCGCTGCAAGGCGACGGTAGCTAGTCCGCCCTCGAATCCCATATCGGTAAGGGTGCACACACTGCGGGGATTCACCCAGTCGCTATCGTTGGCGCTGGAGCGCATCAAGCGGCGCTGCAGGGCACGCTCTGCCTTGGACTGCTTGCGGGCATCCTTGAGCTGCTGACGACGCTCCTGGATAAACTGAACAGCCAGCTCAATGTTACTTCCGCCCGAACAGGAGCGCAGGGCCAGCCGAGCCTCGGCGGGCTCGAACCCCATCTCGACGAGGAGAGCCAGTTGATCGCCGTTGATCTTGAGTTCCCTCAGCAGGATATTGGCCGCTTCGAAGCGCTCGAAGGCCTCATCACGGCGATTCTGGTGGAACATGACCACGCCCTGGAGCAGCTGCAGGCGCATTATTAACGCCCTTTCCGGACAGGCCTTGCCCTTCATGGAGTACAGTCTCTCGAAATTCTCGCCATAGCTGCGACGGAAATTGCGGCCGCAGATGGCCAGCCGTCGGTCGGCATCCGGCAGTTGGGTCACGTTCTTTAGGCAGAGATAGCACCACACTATGTCCAGGTTAAGCAGAGCATAGTTGTCGACCGACTCGAGGAATTGAGAATCGCAGGTGGCAAAGGACTGGTCGGCCTCCAGGAGCAGGAGCAGAGCCTCTTCGTAATCTTCGCGCAACATGGCCGCACGGGCCTTCTCGCAGAATCCCAGACCGAGGAGCAGGGCGCGGTTCTCGGCCGGTGGCAGAAAGACGGGACTGCCGTTCTGGTCCTCCATCTAGGGAAGGGTAGAAGAATACTGTTAAAGTCAGCCCTCCAAATGTCGATTTACCCCAGGGTTAACTCACTTCAATGAGACGGTTCTGGGAGGACACCACTGCCTGAACATCTGCCTTGATGCGATTGATTCTTTCGTACAGGGCTTCGCCGCTATTATCCCCATCGCCCACGATCACAATTAACTGCTGGTTGTTCCTCAGCAGCTGGTCAGCCAAGGAGGCATTGCTCGACACCACTC